ACAAAATGAGGTAAGAGTATGGGGGGTAAGATCTAGGGCAGCTGTGCACACACACCTGAGGAACCATTAGAGCCTGAACAATTTCTTCCAGCCTATGGACAAGTCTATGCCAGTCTCCTGCTTGTTGATATTTCCTATTCGTCCTTGCTTGCTTTTGCTGCCCCCTCTGTACATAAAAGTCATGCATTTTAGATTGTAGGGAAGTATTTTATTTTCTTAAGATTTTATTTATTTGAGAGAGAGAAGGAGAAAGCACAAGCAGGGGGAGGGACAGAGGGGGAGAGAGAGAGAGAGAGAGAAGCAGACTCCCAGCTAAGCAGGGAGTCCAAGGAGGGGTTGATCCCAGGACCCTGGGATCATGCCCTGAGTGGAAGGCAGACCCTTAACTGACGGAGCCATCCAGGTGCCCCATAGAAAGTGTCTATTTTATTTATTTTTTTTTTTTAAAGATTTTACTCATTTGTCAGAGAGAGAGAGCACAAGCAGGGAGAGCGGCAGGCAGAGGGAGAAGCAGACTCCCCGCTGAGCAGGGAACCTGATGCGGAACTTGATCTCAGGACCCTGGGATCATGACCTGAGCTGAAGGCACATACTTAATGGACTGAGCCACCCAGGCATCCCTGGAAAGTGTCTATTTTAAATATTCCCTCCTGTCACCTCCCCTAAGCCAATCACCCTTATAGCATACTCAGAGTGTGTTCATCACACCCAGACATTTAATGAGTGCTCCACATAAGTTCTTACTTACTAAAACAAAACAGAAGAGAGAGACAATCTATTCCATTTTCATTACACCCATCACCTAATTTGTACCACCATTTTTTTCCAGGTTCTGAATATGAATATTAATACTTATTTTCAAAATTGCCTGAATCACTTTGTCTCATTTCTCAATTTTTGTCTCTGCAACACCTAACACATATCGATGTATTAATTAATATTTGTAACACTTCTCTGGAAAAAGCTGTATATTAGAAAAAATAAAACGTTCTTTATCATTAACCCTAGAAAACATCAGCTTCTTCATATTCTGCCCTAAGTAGGATGTACTCTTTGGAAACTTATTCCAGTTCACAGAGGAAATTTTATGTTTGTCAAGTGTCTGATCTCCTCCATGCTAAATACAGTATTTATCCTTGTAATACCAGAATAAGTCTATAAGCATATAGATATATATGTGTGCATATATGTGTTTATATATACTATTATTTAAACTTGTTTAAGAACATAAAAAGGGGCCAAGAACATCATAAGTGCTTATTATAAAGATCACTAGGTGGATTTATTGAAAAAGTCCATTAACAATTAGGAAGGCAAATATTTCAACCCAAGTTTCAGAAATTCAAAAGGAGCAAGATTCTCTTCAGAGAAAACCTGTCTTTGACAGGTCCAGGCAATCCGCACTGAAAACATGCCCTCTGCTGCCATCAAGTGGCTATTTTCAGAATCGTTTTACGAATATAACGAGACTGCACGCTTTGCTTTCCTACCATTTCATTCCTTACACGTTATACATATTATTCTTTGGGGAATTTAGATATTTGAGAAGGCCAGGCAAATTTTTCCTAAACTAAGGCTTTACACTCTGAATGCTGTGAAAATTCCATGACTAAGAAGTTCTTCGGAAAGATGATGTCACAAAGGGTAAAAACTCTTCCCAGCCCTAGACTTGCTCAGTTTCGGGTCAGTAAAGACCTCACCATGGATTCTGAAGCACATCTCTCTTTATTTCTGCCAAACAGATTTCTAAATAGATTGGCCTTAAGATACCTAGTTGAACAGGGAGGAAAAAAAGAAAAAGAAAAAGAAAAAGAAAAACCTGGGGGTGGAGGGAGTCATTTAGAATCATTTTTAACCAAGGCAAGTCCCATCACTGGAAGAAAATGGTTTCATGTTTCTCACTCCAGTGAGAACACCAGGAGCAGCCAACTTGACTCTTATCAAGTCAGTTCTGGCTAAAACTCTTAAGGTTCATTCAGACAAACCTAGGGTTTTTGTCTCTATAAGGAGGGATCAAAGGACTCTAGCTGAACCTAAATTTACAACCAATCCTAAAATTGGGGAAAAAAGCAAATCATTCTAGGGAATCCTCTTTGAAATCCTAGAAGAGCCACAAACCAGGACACATTGGAATCCTCAATGCCAATCAAATTCATTGTAAATAATCCAGGATTCCCCTCTATCACCAGCAATCCACAGTCACGAAACTAGTCAATCATGATATCCACAAGCCTATTCCTTCCACAGCCTCTGGCTCCATCATTCCTTGCCTTACAAAGGATGAGGCAATGCTTCAGATAACATGGTGTCTCCTAGAGAACCCCAAAAGCACAGTTGTATTCATTTTCCCTACCACCTGATTTTCCTACAATTTACATTCCAACCTTAAAGTACTCACTAGTTCAAATGGCATGTGTAATTAAAGTTGGTAATATGTCTTTTATAAATAGTAATTTAATTTTTTATTAGCAAAACTAAACCACTTGTCCCTTGCTTCAGATTAAAAAAAAAAAATTAAAAAGTGGCCCCATGAAAATGTCCTTCTGAACAAGGATGAGGCATATTGGTGAAGAGTTCAAGAGTTAGTCAGAATATGGAATACTGTATTTAGTCTGAAAATAAAAAAGAATCACTTTCAATTTTAGTTAAGACAGACACCCATAAATTCTTATTTCCTGCATATACCGCCTACTTCTTTCAATTTTCAAACACAGCTTGAAAGATAAAAATACAAAGAAAGACTAATAGACCTACAGTGATTGAGCATCAGAATCAATCGGCAATCAACTCTGTACCAGCCTGACAGCAGGAGGTATTACCAGAATTCACTACTTAATCGCTCAACTCCTTGTTTAACGTCTAAAGTAGAGACTGAATTATAATGTAACTTTAGACAAGTGACAGGACATCCCTGGTCCTCAGTTTCCTGATCTGTAAAATGAAGATAATAAAAACACCTATTGCGCAGGGTCATTGTGAGGTTTAACTGAGTACTGGTACTGAGTGCTTAAGAACTGTTAACCCTCTGTAAGATTGGTTTTATAATTAGCTATTGAGTGCTCTACAGTGTGCCAGGGATGACCTATTATTGCATTTAGTTTATTACTTTTAAATCTGCTTCTTTCCTCAGAATAAATAACTTCCGGTTAGCAAAGACCTCAGTAGCTCCATAAAATAAAAAGAATAAAAAAAAGAACTAGAGAGGAAGTCAACTTCCAAGCAGAAGCTATATATACTATTTTGACATATTATCTTCAGCAAGTGCTTAAAAAAATGCAAGTTTTTTATGGGTCCCTTCCTCTTCCGGCCCCAGTGCTGTGTGCACAACACAACACCTCTCTGACAGACTTCTGGTTGTGTTGGGTAATTCCAAGAGGACCATTAGCCGTTGCATTAATACAGGCATGCGCTAAGGCTGAGGCTGCTCCTGACGGGCCCGAGTCAGAGTCTGGAACGCCACCATTTAAAAAGAGACCCAGTAAAGGGCATTATTTGAAACCCAAGAAATAATCACAAACAAAGCTTGTCAGTAACTTCTTTTTTTTTTTTAAGATTTTTTTATTTATTTGACAGAGAGATAGAGAGTACAAGTAGGCAGAGCGGCAGGCAGAGGGAGAGGGAGAAGCAGGCTCCCCGCTGAGCAGGGAGCCCGACGTGGGGCTCGATCCCAGGACCCTGGGATCATGACCTGAGCCG